CTAGAAGAACCTCAAGAACGAGAAAGTAAGCAACCAATTTGTCAGTTTCAGTTTTTTCGTATATTCGTTTTTTTTTCTATACACATATTCCTCTTCACATATTAACCCCATGATCGTTACATACCTAATATTTTCATAAACTGTATCCCAGAGATGTACGAAACGACACCTTATTATCAATTTCTTTAAATTCAACTTGACCACTCGCTACAGTAATAAAATCCTACTGCATGTTCAAAGTTGCGGATAATTTGTACTGACGAAGTTAATAGATATCATTTAAGTCGCATAACTGTCTCCTGTTGTATCTGTAAACTATGTTCGTTCTACATTAGAAAGGAGACAATCCTCATACAAACATTAGTGTGGTTAGAATGATTTTGAACCGTGATCAAAATCATGTGATGTCAAGTTATTGACTCTAAGATACTTAGAGAACAATGGAAACGAATGTTTGTAGATGCATATCAGATAAGCCATGGAATTTTTGTACAGGGTAACTGGAAACGGGGATCTAATAAAACAATGACCTCACTGTTTACTAGTTTTGAAGTGATGGGGTCCCATGTTGCAATTATATTTGATCACTACTAGTGACAGGTTTCTTCTTGCAGAATAATGTTAGCGGTTCTTTCAATAAGACATTGTTCCTAACTTACTACAATCTGGAGATGACATAAATTCTCGTGAACCTTTCACATATTGGATAAAATTATGATACGTGGAAAAAATTGATTGATTGATTTTGAGACATTCTGTGGTAGTATATTCTTTAAACTGTATTTGATTAGCAGGTCGTTCAACTGATTATTATGGTAAGTTAATTCTTGACTCCTTCCTCTAAACACTTCAATGTTGTACATTTATGTTTTGTTTCAGGAATTTCTGTACGCTTAATGCTTGCTAAAAAAAGTTTTTTCTTGTATTTTTCATAATATAAACACGATTTTTGTGCATAAACTGAAAAAAGCTCGGATTTTTTCACAGGAAATCATGATAGTTATTTTTATTTGTCCTGGGATTTCATCCCTTTACAAACAACTGCGCCAAATGTTTTGTATGCTCAGTCAAGTACTTTTTATATACATGATCTTTTAGTGATGTGCTAATATTTATTGATCACTTTTTTGATGGGGCAAATAATAGTGTTACAATCATCATTGTAATTTTAATGATTTTTATTTTTATTGTATAATTGTAAACCTTTTCAGCAGTTTATGCTGCACCAGCATATAGCTAACATCGTGTATCATTTCTTTTTAGCTCGATTAACTTGTCGTAACCATATCAGTATGTATATGTGTGTGCACGTTTGTGTAAAAATGCTTGAAACTCTCCATCTTGTTGTACATGTCGACTGTGATTTTAATCATCATTAAGTAGAGATTATACATCCTTCATATAAACCCAACCTTCTCATTGAGTTCGCTGACCTAAAACAAAAACGACTGTTGCTGTACATTTACGTACTTTATCATATTTCAGTACTCTGTTTCCATGTAGATCAATTTTATCATATTTGAGAATTTTTTTCACTTTAAAGTACTAATGTTAGATATACTGATTCCAATATCAGGTGATACACTTTGTGGTGGATGTGAGTCTATGGCATATAAGGCTAACTAAGTAGAAAGACGGATAGTAACTTACCAATACGTATGAGTAAGGATTGCACTATTTCACAAATCGACTGAACAAAAGTACGCCTCGCTGTTTTCCAAGTTACTAAATAAAAGATGCGACACTGACTGCAAAATCTAAAGGTTCTGACTGCAATTCTGCTTTAGGCTGTGGATGTGTGCTGCTTAACGTTTCATATTTTAACAACATGACTCCTCAGTATTATATGATTTTCCATCGGTTCTCCAGTTGTCTGCTTGTGAATATCACTGTCATATTAATTAAATTATATTGAAATAATATTATGCAATGTTCTCCATTCTTTCACTGCAATATTGTTATTCTGACAACAAGAAGTTGGTTGTCTTCTAGACTCCAAATTAAATTGCAGCATATATGTATTGCTCTCTGGTGTTCATTAATTCTTCAATTATCATCAGTTTATCAATGTAATCTGCCAGCAATTTATTTTTGTAATATGGTTTCACTACTGTTGAGTTCTAAATAAACAAACTCTAAGTAACTTTTATTAAACTATTTATTTGCTAGCTAATATGACGTTTTTTAAATGTCAGTCAGCCACAACATAAGACCAGGCACATATATGCATCCGTCCAAATTACCACACCTCATTAGCACAGCAAGGTGAATACCGAATTCCTAGAAGTAGTTACTTTAATGGTAGTAATATATAAAAGAAAGATTACATATGATAAGGATATAATACAGGGAGAAAGAATTATTTAATAGAAAGAAAGGTGTGACGTAATGTTAGTAATAATGGGGATTTTTCAGCGAATAATTTTAATCTCATGGTTTAAGGGAAGGCAAAGAATTTATACACCTGCACCATTGTGATCGATTCTGGGCTGTCACTCAGAGTCTCCAACCTTTGGTCACTCCAGTCGCGCGGACCCCAACCTAGTAGTCTTTATCTAACAACATGGCTCAGACTTGAAGGACTGATACCACGTTTTCGTTTGACCGCCCCTAATTTTCTTCCAACCATCCCCAACACTGGTCAGCATCGCGTATCGTGTAAGTTGGTGTTCAAACATAAGCAACACGTGGCCAAACCATCTAAGTTGATGAGGATTTATAACCTCATCAACTGATTTACCATCAATCCCTAATACCCTGTGTCTAACCTGATTATTACTTGCCCGGTGATCCCAGCAGATGCCAGCAATATTTCTAAAACACTCACAGAACCTCTCGGTTTACAGAGTCAAATGCTGTTTTTAAGTCAAGAAAAACTATCACTGTCGGACGCAGATAGGCATACCTGTGTTCTAAAACCTGGAAAGCGGTGAATATGTGGTCGATGCAGCCACAACCAGGTATGAAGCCAGCTTGATTTTCTTGTATTTGCAGTTCACTAGTCTTTGTTAGGCATCCGGTAATTATTAAGGCTAGTATTTTAGATGCTATATTAGTCAGACTAATCACACTATGAATTCAGATTAGTATTGTTTGTTTGAATCTTCCCATCGATTTGTTTGGACTGCAACTGGTCAGTCTCTAATTGGCCACTAATTAGCCACTATCCATCTCTGCTAACCATGCTTGTGGATTAAGGTATGTCGAGGCAATACGCACAGTATGCACATATGCCAATTAGAGACTGACCAGTTGCAGTCCTAACAAATCGATGGGAAGATTCAAACAAACAATACTAAGTTGAATTTAAACTTCACCCCATCGCACAAGCAAGTGGCTATCAGGACTCAGTGGCCGAGTGGATAACGCGATGGCGTTTGAAGCGAGGGTACTGGGTTCAAGTCCCAGAGTGAACATCAACTCTGAGATGCGGGTACATCCAGCTGACGAGTCCCAAATAGGACGAGACACTCGCGTCCTGGATTCCACTGCTAGCCACTATCCATCTCTTTTGATCACACTATGATTATCACAGTATGATTTTAACCCCTTCTTGTATATTGGGACAATTAATGATTGCAACTGCTCACATGGGATTACACATAGGTCGGAGATTTTAGTTAAAATATCAGTCAACCTAATTGCTAAAACTGAACCACCATCCTTAAAGACCTCTGGAGCCAATCCATCTGGACCAACTGCTGTTCCACGTTTCAGATTAACTATGACTTTTTGAATTTCAATTACAGTCGGGGGGACCTACTTCAATGTTCCATTCATGCCTTTTGGGAATGGTGGGTAGTTGTAGGGTAGCTGAAAGCCAGTTGGACTGCTTCTTAAAGTGTCCAACCCATTCTTCTAAACGTCCGGGCTGAGAGTAGATAAGTGTCATTTTTTTCCGTGGTCGTCTTACACTTGACTTCTTAATTCCGGTTTCTTTTATCAGTCAGAAGAGTTGTCTGGTGTTACGTTTAGCCACTGCCTATTCCATGTTTTGCTTTCGTTGCCCAGCACTCCTCATAGTCGTTCCTTAGACTTTTGGCCAACCCATATCTGTTTTTTTCGCTCTTTATCTTGTTTGGAGCCTGTTCGGATAAGTTTACGACGTGTTTCCCTATCCTTTTGAGTTCTTACGGAGCCAGACATCACATAAACGGCTGTTAACGGGGATCTATTCTAATAGTGCTTGTTCTGTCCTCGTACTCAGTGCTATACCTACGCCCACCTAAACACGAGAACTTGTCATTGGGTTGCTAGATAAACGGAGGATGTATCTCGTTGGCTCCTCAATTTGGAGAGTTGAGGTCAAGTGAATGACCACAATAGGCTCCTGTATGCGTGTTTCAAAGACACAGCATACGTCAGTGGTACGAGATTCTGGGGTTTTAGCCAAGGAGTCCTGCTTGTGTATTTGACATCGGGTGCTTACGTTGAAGGCTCCAATGTGCAGTTTGGAGCGAGGTTCCAGCAGACCTGAGAGTGTTTTGCGTACTAGAATCGTTGGCTTAAGTGACACTTGGGGAGGAATCCGAAAGAGGAATTTTAGTGTTGATAATCGATGTAGGAGGAATAATAGGAATTAAAGAGGGAGATTGATTATGAATACAGTGATCTTGAGTGTTGTTAAAGGTATGAGTATGTTTATCACTTGCCGGTTGCCCTTATTGTGGAAGGGCTCTTCTGGAGGTACCTGGGAAGGAAATTGGGTCAGAGGCGTTCTTAATGACTTGAGAGCGTGACCGCAGTGCCCAAGGGACAACTTCTTGAGGTCGGTCACACACGACCTTTTTGTGAGCCATTCTTGTGTTAGCTCCCTACGTGTTGGGATCTTACCGCCGGAGACGGAAATCTACGGGATCAGGCAAGATGTGCATTTTTAGGGTCGACCTTTTCTAACCCCACCCCTCATTGTGGGAAGGCCACATCTCTATTATGCTTGTCTGAAGGAAACACCTTACCGCTGTTAAACCGATCTGTTTGGCATGGTAGGATCTTGAGGAACGATTGTTCCAGCCAGTATAGCTCACTGGGTAGCAACTAATATCATGCTTGTCTACTCTTTTTAGTACTGATAGAATCCTATGAACCAAGTTACAATGTTGCCTCTAGTTTAAATGACTCGAAATTGTGTGCATTACCTTGAAATGCTAGGCGATCGGAGGTAGTCGACAGGAAATTCTGGATCTAGACTTTTGCATTTGTCAACAAGGTGTACCTGTTATCTTGAGAGACATGATGCTCTTCGGTGGATTCGAATTATTTGTCTATTTCCTATTGTAGTATTAGAACATTAAATGGTCGTCAAGTGCTCCAATTATAGAGTCACAGACCTTTCTATTTCGTATTCTATATAATATGCAATAGAGCTAAATCTTATTATGGGTTTTTAAAACTACCGTTTACATTGACTTCGTATTGTTTACTTGAATCTTCTCATTTATGTTTCCCACTGTAATTATTAATATTATCTTTGATATTGAAAGGTGGGGTTTTCTCTTGTTTGACTTACGATTCGTTTTGTATTTTCTCCGTGCTGCTACAGTTGTTCACATTTTACCCATTCATATTTCGGATTCATGCGGAAAGCTCAAGTAGAGACAACCATACACATCAGTTACTAATTGCTTTCAATTCTTTCGATAAAATCTATTTCCTATCCATGACCATTGCTAATTGTCATCGGTATGATTATTTCGATAAGAATAACTCGATCTCAAACTATAGAGAGACATGTTTAAACACTGATCCAGCTACATTAGCCTGGTAAGTCAGTTGATATCACTAGCATTCACTTATAAAATGTATAATTCAAAAGGAAATACACGGTTCTAAGTTGCATGAAGTAACTAGGATTAAAGGCGAAGCCTCAAGTGAAATCTTTCTGATAGATCGTGTGAATAGTCAGTTTAAGTGTGCATAATCGTATTTTTCCCTTAACTACTCTTGGATTCGCTCCGAGAATTAAATCTTTCTGTGCTAATGGGGCTTAGTAACTTGAGTCGATGCACATACCTTCAAGATGCTGTGTCTCATTAGACTGATTTGATAGTAAGTCAGAGGAAAAAAATAGAATTACCAATTATCGTGTATTATGTTTTCTCCAGCTAATCAATATACAGAGGTATTAGAAACTTCTGAACAAAAATACTACGGTCGCCAGCTCGTATACCCATAGAACGTATGCCGTAAATCACCATGAATTCTTCAGTTTTATCTATTGTATGGCCATTACTGGCTGAATGTCATCTTTCTGTCACTTTATACTTTTTACTTGATATCATTAGTCAAGTAACTTTTCACTTCGTACAGAATTTCGTTGTAACTACAAACATTTGTAAGAAATAGCCAAAATAGCAATAGTGAAGATGTCAACTTCACAAAGCAGTACATCGAAAGAACAGTAGAAATGAACTACTGTTTTTTTTTTCAAAATTTAGTCAATTAACAGTTAGTATTGAATCACTTCCTTCGAATAGTTTTGAATATGAACCATTCGCTAATTTTAACTGTTTAATTCATTACAATATAAACTCATAAGCTATGATCAGATGGTTTTATTTTCGTAGATATTTTGATATTTTCCATTCATGCCCTGTATACGTGTACGCAATCTAGAACAAGGACCAGGAAACCTAATGGGTCGGGTTAAATGAATCTGCTTATTATTATGGCCCAGTTGTTGGTCCTCTACGGTAAAAAAGTCTCGGTTAGTAATTTTTGATTTGGCACGATAAGTTCAGTTGTTCATGGATTTAGAATTTTACGAAACATTAGTCAGGATTCCATTTCCCATCAGTTTAATAAGGTTTTCTTAGAAAGGTTCGCTTGATCATCTGACTGTGATTAATATTTAGGAGACTATGACATTATTGCTGGAGCACTGGATATCATGTGATTACTGTAGTTTTATCATTTACAAAAAATAATCAAGAAAATACAGCAATCACATTGCTTAGCTATGTAAACTAGATAGATAAAGTAGAATTCAATTTGTAATCTTAATAATAATCAACCGAATCTTTAAGTTAAAGCTCTGCTTTTCCCCCTCATATTAAATCATAAATCTCCCGTATTTAACAATCAAAATCTATTCTGTTTTCTTTATTATTTTTTTATATATTTCACCCATAACACTGTATTCATTGATATGTGGAAAATTGTTTTACATTTCTTTCCATTTACCATGTAGTCCTACATTTTATTGAATCTATTGAACAATCCTCATAAAATATAAATCGTTTGTACTTACCGATTTAAGCGTCTCCATATGTATATATATATAATCGCTTTGTACATGTGTAGTACTCAATGAATATTACTATGCTTATATCTGTGCATATACCCATACAAATACAAACGATTTTTTTTCTTTTAGCTTATTCAGTAACTTACCATGAAATATATAATACATTTGATTATTTGTAAATTACACAATTGGAGTTGTTGTTTTCTCTTTTTCTGTTTTAAGGACATGTTGCCTTGGTTATTTATTTATAGTTCATTGAATGTAGATTATTTCCAATTTTCTTTAATTAAAATACACACACCATTCAGTAGAATATCTATGCATGTCTTAAATGTAATACAATGTGTAGTATTTTTGCTTTCAGAGTGTATTTGCATGTTTGTTTGTTTTAAAAATATTATTATATCTCATTATCTACCTATACTTTTTATTGTGTGAACTTTTTTTAAAAGAAAAACAAGTATAGTTTGTTGCTAAATAATCTTATATCTATTATCTATGAAATGTTTATAAGTAGCCTTTGTTGCCTGAAACTCTCGATCGAAGTAATTAAAACATGTATGTATACTGATTGGAGTTTTAACATTTTCGATCGGCCTACCAATTTAGAAGGATCAAATATAGAAGGAACAAAGGAGAGTGTAAGTAGATAGTAAAGTCTGAATGTGGAACAGTTGAATTTGAGAACTAATAGACATCGAATAATAAAATGTGTCACTGCTACTGATTTTGAGCCATATCACTTAAACGTAGTCGACCTTTGGCTACTTACATTAATTGTGTCGTTAGGGAGGTTGTGAATCTTCAGTGACTCAGGTATTTGGGACACACACTTTATATGTCAAGTCACTTCCTAGTTCGGTGCGTGGTGTTAGATGGGATAGGAATAAATTGGAAGAAAGTTAAACATGGCATGTTCATGAAATTATTGACTGCTAAACCTAATCCATGTTGATAGATGATGGTCACTGGGTTGTGTCCATACAATTATCGTGACCAGTGGTTGAAGACTTTAAGTGACAATGGTCAGGATCGATCTCAGTGACAAAAAGAAATACAGTCACTGTTTGTCTTCTCTTAAATTTTAAAAATTACTTTATATTCTTCCTTGAATTCAGGTCTATGCCTAAGGTTTATTATCACTGATACTACTTTTACTATTACTTATGACTGACTTGCGGACGTTACGCGTGTGATGTTTTAATGATTTTATTTACTTATTTATTTGTTTGAATTTATAAACATTAGTACGAAGTAGTACCAAATATTTGCTGCGTACAAATCAGCCAACTTGAAGGTGGGCTGGGATACTTCCTAGGTGTTCAAACCCAAGTGGGTGGTTTTTCTTAGAGGTCACTCTTTGAGCCTTTGATCTGGAAGTCTAATCCACAAGGCAGTGGAGCAGCGTCAGGAGATGTGGTTCCTGGTAGCCGGTGACTGAGAATAGGTTCATGCACCAGCTGTTCCCTCAGGTTCCTGTTGTTCATATGATCATTGGTTTGGAACTAGGGTTCTCCAACTTCCTTAGGCGAATCCTCTGTAACCATAAACCCGATTTTAACACCTAATATTCACTTTTATCCTCTTAATTTCATAAACAATGCCGCTGCCGCGAGAAGGTAGTGAATAGGACTTCCTTGACGGTGGCTTTGTATGCATTATCGTATTAGACCATTTCGAGAGGAGAGCTGACTCTCCCCACCCTCGGCCGTACCTGAGTCTCTAATTTGGAATGTCATGTTTAGAGATTATGAAGCAAACTATTGCATCTTTTTCTAGAGACCCCATCTGTCTCACATGTGACGTGAGATAAGTAAAATTTCAAATGTAATATTAATGTAAATCAACAGTAATCCACACTCCATATTCTTCAAAGAAATCCATCCCAACATATCTATGCTTAGTATCCAAGGTTTCAAAGTCTTCCTATTCTATAAACATCACCAAATAAAACTGTCGTTTGTATACTTACGAACAATAAACGTTTTCAGATTAGATAATAGTTTCACTGTTTATTAATATTCTGAGTCATCTACCCGACAGATTTATTGTACGGTCCACTGTTATCATCTGCCCCTGCTCAATATCCGTGTACAAATTTTTTATCAATCTACACCTAACCAGCTTTTGCTTATTATCATATTCCAAGACGTATAACATAAATTCGCGATCTTCTGTTAGTTCATCTAAAGCTTTCAAGCTTCACTAATCATTTTAAACAATTTCGCTGATGTTTTTTTTCATTTTTCTCTAGTAGTGTTTATAGTTTGCTATTGAATCGTTATCTTACTGATATTGGACTAAATTTTATTTACAAGATAATGTTTTTAAAATAAAATCTTCATTCACCATAATATTCACACTGTGGTATGGTCTACTTATATCCAAATAAGTAGTATATGGAGATAGTCAGACATAGAATGCATTTGGGCAGAAGATCGATAAGGAACGAACAGGAATGAAGCGCAATCGGTATGAAAATTCATGAGCAATGTGATTAGAGAAGACGGACTGATATTTGGAGAATGAACAATTAAGATTGAGACAATTGATTGTTCTTTTGAAAATTAACTGTTCATTGTATGGTTATCAGAATTTAGTGAGATAGTCTGTAATTCGTGCTTAAGTACATTTGATTGTTCCCACTCGTGTTCTTGTTCACTACAACACTACACTAATGTTGGTGTAGTTCCATATTTTATCATGTTCAATTGTAAAATACGAGTCTTTTTTATTGTGTGATATACTTTATCATAGAGTTATATTTAAAGTTATCAACAGTAAATAGTTCTTTTGATATTACGGTACTTGACATCATTCAACTATGCTAAGGTTCATAAGTTAATCCTCATCTAAACAAAATATAATTTATAGTACCATATATTGTCTTATTGTGACCTATAATTTGTTTGTATCATGTTTTACTGAATTCGAAAGAAGCATTTTCCTTCTCTGATAAAATGTGTAAGTTCAATATTTTCTTATTAATCTCTTTTCATCCAGGATTCAGATTGTCTCGGTCATAATAAAAGGTTGACCTTTATCAGTCAGAGTATATTTGTGCTCAAATCACCATAGAACTTTGGTTTATAGAGAATTATAATCTAGATTCTGATTGGTGAATCTTGTCGATTGATACCGTTTCAACACGATTGTAACAGTTTACTAAGTGTTATTACTTTAGTGCCGCTTTACTCTTATATATATATATATATATATATATATATATATATATATATATATATATATATCACTTAAGTGTATACCTTACCCCTCTAACGAATACTGAGAATATTCCGCTCAATATACTAGTTAATGATATTATGCAGCATATTCATTTTGTTCTCAATGTATACAAGATGTCATCATTGCAGTACATTAGTTTTTGTATGTTGTATAGAATAATGCTTCTTCTTTTTCACAGTATTAACATACGATGAAGGTAATCGTGATGAAGTGGATGCCAATGCTGCGTTAGCGGAACTGGAAAAGATGCCTCATATCGGTGTCACTAAAACTGGACAATCTCGTGGAATATTAGATAAGCTTGATGGAATACGGACAAGTACTGATGTTGTTGACGAGATTACCTCAAATGATGTTCAACGTAATGATAGTAAGTGATTTCCGTCAAAATTAAATAACGTCATAAAAAAGACTTTGTCATAGTCACTATTTTTCTGTTCACAGTGTTTTCATTGAGTTTCTTATTTCTACAAACTGTATTCTATGTCGTTGGATTTCACGTTTCATTTCTTTTGTGCTAATATCAAATGACTATGGAGTGTTAATTCAATGCCCTCGTTGATATCAGAGTTGTTTACAGTAGGTACCATTACCAAGTTTTGATTTGATAATTTTGAATAAATTGAGCATTGGGTGGATTGTTATAAATAAATAATATATTTCTAATATCCCAATGAGTAGAAAAATTAGATTTTCTGACGTTTCGTGACTTAGTGTAAGCCACTTCTTCAGAGAATAAATAACCAAATTAACATTAATCCAAGTTTAAATAGTACAACGGAACACTAAGTCACGAAACGTCAGAAAATCTAATTTTTCTACTCATTGGGATATTACAAATATATTATTTATTTAGAGTTGTTTACAGTTTATATTCACATAAGCAGGTCACAGACTGCGGATTGACTCACTAGATGGAACTTACTCCTTAATTATAGGTACTATAAAACGTCATATCAGTAGAATCATAAGCGACATCCAAGCGATCCGGCTCATCTGAACAAATATTCTGTGTAGATATTTGAATCCAATAATTCAATAATAATATTTGAATTATTAGTTTCTACTTAGCGTATTTTCTTTTTAGAATAATTCATTGTCTAGTTTTCTCTCTAATAATCCTCACGTTAAATAACAACTATCTAGAAACCTATCTGCGATAGTTAATTGTTGATGTCTATGCAACATTCCAAATTATTTCAACTAACCACCGGTTGCGGTTTTTTATTTGGGCCATAGACAACTTTATTTTTTATGATCCCACTATTTGTAATTGATATGGTAATGAAACTATTAACATCCACTATTCAATATTTTTTTGTTGTCAAGGTGTTCGAAATCATTCACCTCCAGATAATTTCCTGAAGTTGATGAAATTGTGCATCATTTTGTTTCACAATGTCTTTTGTCATTACTACGTGGATCTATTCAAACATATATAATGAGAACTATTGTTCATAAATTATGCTTAGCATTGCTTTCCGGCTATATCTCTTCTGTCGACTATTCAAAGTAGTTAAAAACGTCTGTGTGCTCCTTTTTCTAGGTACTTTAAACATCAAGCAGAATTTCTTATTATCGTGATCATTCTCAAGTTACAAATCAGAAGATTATCGGTAGATATAATTATTTTGTGTGTGACATAAACCAACTATTGACTATTAGATTGGGTTAATATTTATGCCTGTTGGGATCATAACTGACAGATGTTTTCCAAAGATTATGTCGAAATAATTTATGTTACTACTTTTCTATGAAGCGATTTTTTTTATATAGTACAGAAGGGAACCTTTATAGTTTGATTTATTGCGCTTGAGGTTTTTGACTGGATTAGTTAAGTCGATATAACAATACCTGAATTTCCATGTAGTTATTTTGCATATGACTAACTTATTGAATCACTAATGTATATCAAACTTACATAACAAGTTATACACTTTCGATAGCTATTTGGTATTTTTTATTTACTATTTCTGCTCTACTTGGTGAAAATAGACTGATTTCATTGTAAGTAGTATGGTTTATAAATATATTGAAATGACAATTTAGTATTTTAGATCAGAAGGGGTTTTGTGGTCGATTGAAGTCGATTGAAGCTAGACCACCATGGAAAACCTGGACGCACTGGACGGCCGTTTCGTCCTATTATGGGACTCCTCAGCAGTGCGCATCCACTTCAAGAGATATTTCCTGGAGTTCTAGTGAGAAGCAATGACCGGTGGAGTTCAACCACGTGTATTGTAGAGATATGAACTCACTGAAGACAATTGGTGAACGGTTGCTCAGATTTCGTGGATTGGTTGAGGTTAGACAATAAAACCGTCGGATGCCGTCTCAGTGGTCTATCGGCTAAGTGCTCTGGCACTAGACTAGTAGGTCCTGGGTTCGAATCTTGCAGGGAGGGATCGTGTATGCGCACTGTTGAGGAGTCCCATAATAGGACGAAACAGCCGTCCAGGTTTTCCATGGTGGTCTAGCTGCAATCGACTAATGATTTCAACTGTGATAATTTTTATTATCTCCACAAATAGCTATCAGAGCTCTTCTTTACTACTATTACTATTGTAAATTTCAGAATGCTGTCAATCATATTTTTCTTTTGTTAACTGATTTAAATCGGAGTGAATTTAGATATTGGTGCTTATGTGAACACTACAATGGTGTGTTTCCTATATGTCGGTTATCTGATTTAGTTTTGTAAAAGATAAGTCATGTTTGTGTACAACTTAGTATACAGCTTCAATCGTGTTTGGTATTTCGTTTGATAATTTTTATCGCTCTATCCATTCTGTTGTATATATAATTTTGAATACCATATTTCTTGATAAATATGAGCTTCCTTTCACTGATTTTACTGACCGTGAGTTATCATTTCTTCGTTAGTTATCCAAATGTCAGAGGAGGAGAAGGCTCAATTATTATCATCCGATGCTTTTCTACGCTTTTTTGAACGTTCTTCACGTATAATTGAACGAGCGATTTGTCAACCAGATGAAGGTATCTTTTTGGATTATTCCGGTCAAGATCTTGAAACTGAAGAGTGAGTTTTTTGATCATTTATATTGGTTGTCCTTACTTACTTTAGCCTGTTACTTATCATGGAGGAACATAGGTCACCCACCAGGATTCTCTATCGAACTCTGTCCTCGACACTCCTTTCTAATCGCTATTCATTCTTTCGATGTCTCCCTCTAATTGTCGATCAAATGTGTTCCTTGGTTTTTCTCTTTTCCTTTACCCTTCAGGATTCCAAGTCAACACATGCCTCGTGATGCAGTCTGATGGTTTCCGAAATGTATATCCTATCCACATTCATAGTCTTTCCTTTAATTCCCTCTTCAGCTGGACATTCAGCTGGTTCGTTCTTTGATACGGTAGATTGTTACTGATAGTATCCGGTCGACGGATATAGAGTATCTTGCTTATAGATACTTATACTTTTCTGATGATGGGTGTGATGTTTCTCCAAGTTTCAGCTCCGTAGAGTAGAACTGTCTTGACGTTCGTTTCGAAGATTCCGACTTTCATGTTGGTTGACAGTTGTTTCGAGTTTCATATATTCTTCAACGGTAGGGATCTTGTCTTTGTCTTGCTAATCCTTGTCCTTGTATCTTCATCGGATCCTCCTTGTTCATCGATGATGCTGAACAGGTACAATAGAGTTCCCACCTCTACCAGCATTTCTCCATCAAGTGTGATTGGTTTGGTGTTCTCCATGTTTTATTTGAGGATCTTGCTTTTTCCCTTGCGTATGTTGAGTCGTACTGCTGCAGAGGCTTCTTCTACACTGTTAGTATTAGCCTTCATTTGTTGCTGTGTACGGGATAGGAAAACTAGGTTATCTGGGAAGTCCGGATTGTCTAGTTGTATCTAATCGGTCCATTGTATTCCATCCTCGCTTTGAGATGTAGAAGTCTTCATAACTCAGTCAACCACTAGAAGAAGGAGAAACGGAGAGAGAAACAGCTTTGTCTGACACTGTTCCTCACTTCGTGTGCATCTGTACTCCATGCATGACTTTGCAGTTTATTTGATCGTATATCTTCCGTATGATACTGACAATGTTTTCAGATACACCATAGTGTCAAAGAAGGTTTCATAAGGTTCTCCTATCCACATTGTAATACACTTGTTCACAGTCTGTTATGCTTGAAGTTAAATCGATTACGCGGTAACGAACGAAGCCAATGACACAATGACACGATAAGCTATTCTAAGCGGTTGTCCCAGGCCCCGCTAACTAGATGAAGAAGTCCAAGGCAAGTAGGGTAATATATATATATATATATATATATATATATATATATATATTCCGTAAGCAGCCGAGTACAAGCAATCAAATAAGGGAAAAAGTCAAGCGCATTTATACAACAACAATTTGTCCTTGAGCATCATTGGTAAATAGCACACACAAAGAAACAATGGACCAATAGCGTTTAAGATAGTTTACAAGTGGGAAATATGACGTCAAGGTAAAAAGAGCGCGTTTGGCGCGGAAACAGCTAAATTCAAATTTTCAAAATAAAATTACAAAACTAAGCCATTTACCAAGTAAGTTCTGGGGATTTGACATCCCCAACACAGTCAAGGAAGTTGATGTGCTATATCGAGTTCCATTTAATTGAATGTCCATAGTGTTTCGATTTGGTCTGTGCACAACCAGTCCTTACGGAGTTCAGACTATTGATCTCAAAGCTAGACGTCTACTGAACCTTTCATCCAGTTCAGCAACACTATTGAAAACTTTTCTTAGCATCAATAGTAGTGTGATACCTCTGTGGTTCTCACATTTGCTCAGATCTCCTTTCTTTGGTATCTTGGTGAGGTATACTTCTTACCTGTCTGTCGGCACTTGTTCTTCCTGAATAGGACGTGGTTCATATTCGCAGTTACTTCTATGCCTGACTTCACTGCTTCAGCTGGTGTTTTATCAGGTCCTGCTGCTGTCTCATTTCTAATTTGTCTAAATGCCATACTGCTTTCTGCAATCGTTGGTGGAGCGGAATCTATAGGAAGGTCTGTGTGTGATACGTCGATGTCTGGTGGGTTTAGTGGGTCTGGTCTACTGAAGATTTCTCCAAAATGCCCTATCCACCTGTTTCACTGTTCTTGGATCTCAGTGGTGGATTCGCCTTTTTTGTCTTTGACTGGTCTCTCTGATTTACAATATTTTCCTGCTAGTTTTTTGTTGCATTATATAGTATTTTCATATATCCGTCTGTTGCAGCTTTTACCACTATCATTTCTGAGCTTGTACGTATCTCTGCTTGTCGTCTCTAATGCTTCTCTTCACTTGGTTGTTTGCTTCTGCGTATTCAGTTTGTACCTTTTCTTCCTCTGCTCTTGTTCTGCTGATATTGATTGTTATCTTCTTTTTCTTCCTTTCTTGAATCTTGTTTAGGGTATCAATAGAGATCTATTCCTTATGATGATGCTTCTTGTGGTCCAGCACCTCCTGACTTGTTGAAGTTAGTGCTTTTTTATGCCTTTACAGTTGTTCTACATAAGAGTTTCTTATACTTTCAGTAGATTCTGTAAGGGATGGAACCTGTTGTTGAGACCTATTTTGGTTTTTCCCAGCTTGTGAGTATCTCGAAGGAAGGCTGCATTGAACCTCTGTACTGCTGTTTCCCCAGCTGTCCATTGTTTCTTTAGCTTCAGTTTCATCTCGGCTACAACCAGGTGGTAATCTGAAGCTGTCACCTGCTCTCCTGGTTCTCATGTCTTTCATTACCCTTCTGAATTTTTTATTGATACACATATTATTTTCAGACTGTGAGTGATATGGTCCGTAATCGCTCAGAACGGCTCAGATACATTCACTCATTATGCTTCTCTCTATCTTGGATTTCATCATCCCTTTATATATACTTTTCCTTTGTGAACTTTCAAATCATACTCCTAAAGTTTAGTCTTTCTTTTTATCATTGTCACTACATGATTTGAATCTCATTTGTTATTTTCGTCTTATGTTTAATGGGTTATGGCTACTTCGGCCAACTCGTATCAATGCTATGCTCTATGCTGTTAATGTCTGTCTGTTACGTATTGGTTTTCTTTGGAATCAACGTCTTACGTGTACAGCAGGTGCAGAAATACAGTACAATCTTTTCAATACGTCTGTGCTTCAGTATCATTTTGTTATTGGTTTAAATCCAATTTTAGGTCTTATATACTCATTTATCGCATTTTATTGTTATAGGTCTGATGAATTGTTAACTGTGTCGAACGAATTTTTTGATGAAAGATGGTCTAAACATCGTACAATCACTGGTTTAGATTGGTCAACTATATTTCCAGAATTATTACTTACAGCATATCATATGAATGAAGAAGCTGTTCATGAACCTGAAGGTGTTTGCTTAATGTGGAATATGAAATATCCAAAGAAATTAACACCGGAATTTATATTTCATTGTCAATCCCCAGTTACATCGGCTAGTTTATCACGTTTTCATCCAAACATTGTAGTTGGTGGTACTTATTCTGGACAGATTGTTTTATGGGATAGTCGGTAGGTTAACTAGTTTTTTTTCTAAAAAGATACTCTAACTTAATGAAATCTTAAAAGTCATGTACAATGGGGTAGTTCAGTGGTTAAGGTATCCGAAATCCAACCAATATGTCTCAAGTTTGAATCATGTCCTACATATTTCAGATCAAGTCAACTTGTAGTATCGTGCTAGCCGTCACACTTAAAGTGTAACTCGAATGCGGGTACACGAATCTGTTTCTGATAATGATTTGATAAAAGAAAATTAGTACCTCTATGCTACCTAACAAAGCATTTTAGAAAAATACAGGATGTTAGTGCAAAACATGTGACTAATGAGTGAGATTGTTGTTTATAAGACTAGCCTAACATTTTCTTTTCATTTATTAGGTCAAGAAAAGTAATTTAATGTGACTAGATCAGTGTAATTTGATCTAAAATGTCGTATGTCATCTGTAACTGTCTACCTTTTTTCAATCGTGTTTATAACTATTTATCGGGTTCAAATTCTTACACTACTTAGTTCAGTAGTCTGGGATTAATTGTACTGGCTATGTTTTATTCCATTGTACTTTTTTTTACTCCCAAAGTCTCTTTCGGTTTATCATTCTTAGTAATCTTACAACATATCTCGAACAAATGTTCTAGACTTAATTTCACTCTTCCTTAAACTCATCCTTGCTTCATATGTTCAGGTTAATGCGATTAACATTGTTGACATTTCAATAATACTTTTAAAAATATACCATTCACACAATTATAAATATGCCACGGAAGAAGGTAATTTTACATCGGTTTTCTGGAGAAGCATACACCACTGATGCTTTTACATTACGATTTGAACAGCACCGCTCAATTATGTGGCGCAACCACATAGGTACCAAGAACCCTGATAGACCGAGAACTTCCCATCAATCATACCTTATATCTTTACCGTATTATAGAATGTAACCCAGATTATGCTACATATTTAAATTTTCGCTACCTGGAACAATGAATTTCGTTTGCCACTTTTTATTTTAAGCAAACTTTTTGGGTACAGAGACATTAGTTGTAGTATTTATACTTATATGTGATACATTGTTGATGAGGTCGGTGAATTAATGGCTAAGACATTCAACTTTCAACTACTTGATCTCACGTCTGAGTCTTGACCTGTGTTTGGCCGCCTGGGAAAGATCACTAGTCCTCACACCTAAAGTGGCTCGAAGAGGATTACACGAACCAGTACTTAGATGTATGAGTTACCTCGTCACATCCATAAACGATTTTCTCTCTCTTGAATTTTAGAGTTAATAAACGAACACCAATTCAGCGTAGTCCACTAACGTCATGGGCTCATACTCATCCAGTATTTGCAATTACACTAATTGGTACTCAGAATGCTCACAATATTATTAGTTTAGGATCCGATGGCTCGTTATGTGCATGGAGTTTAGAAATGTTAGCTCAACCAAGAGAGAAAAGTAAAGTTTGTGAAATGTCTTCCGGTGGTCTGTTCGATCTTTATCCTACATGTATGTCATTTTTTGCTAACGATGTGAATAATTATGCTGTTGGTGCTGAAAATGGTAACGCTTATTGTGGACAACGGCATAGCAGGTAATCATAAATTAATATTTCTTTCTTTCTTCGTTTAAATTTAATTATAAGTTTTACATTCCAAGTACATCATTATTACCATCGGTAAATGTTTGAATGATCGTATTGTAGATGTTCAGGACTGAATTCCTGTATCCAACCGGTAATTACAGTCCATCTATTCTAGAGAGCTTGTGCTAATAGATATTTTAAGACAGTATACACAGGATGCACGTATGCCAATAATGATAAATCGTAATTCAGCCCTGAATATCAACAATATCATATCCTTCGAAGAGGTTATACTATACTGATGTATCTTCAAATTAACTTTCAACTCAACTCTCTCAGGTAATTAATTTCAACCGATTTTGTAATTATGATTTCTAAGTATTACAGGTTTTATATAGCTGATAAGAAGCTCAACAATTTTCTCAGAAAATATAATTATGCTAATAAATCTTATGCATTCTCTTTAGTCGTACAGGTGTTGCTGAAGAAACTTCACGTCATGTTCCATATAAAGGACATGGTGCACCTCTTACAGCCATCTCTACTCATCCAAGTCCTGGTGCTTTTAGTTTTTCATCGCTATTTCTCACTGCATCATTAGATTGGACTGTACGTTTATGGTCTACACGTGAACATAAACCTATACACACATTTGATGATTATTCGGATTATGTGTATGATGTATGCTGGAGTCCTGTACATCCAGCTGTATTTTCTGCTGTTGATGGTACTGGAAATTTAGATATATGGGATATGAATCAAGATGCTGAAGTAAGTACTGTTATTATTATTCGTTTCTTGTAACTTGTATATTACTTTTATTATTTTAATAGTGAAAATTTCAATTTCACTATTGAAAATAGTATGTGTTTATTGTATTAACTTCGGTTAATTGGTTAAGGTGAAGATCATTTGTACGGAACTTTTGATTGACCATCGTCTCTTTTATTAATCAGCATGTTTTGAAAAGATTTAACTATTGAATTATAAGTGAACATATCATTCGACTTGTGAAGACTTTGAAATACTCATGTACTTCTGTCAATTGTTTGATGCACTGGGCTTTGAATCAGTAATGGTTTCTCGTATTCAAATCTTATTCTATCTACTTTGCTTTGAACAGTCGAATGATATTATTAGCCTTTGTACAAACAATGTGGCTCTAAGCGAATTCTCTGTACTTGATCACTGGAGTTATATCAAATCCGTTCGCTCATGGCTCAATGTGCGTCATTTTCGTCGTCTCTGTCATCCATGATGGATGCTGCTTCATTCATTTTATAGTTTCGTTGCAATTGTTGATGTTTCAGTACACAGAATTTTTACTAAATACACAAAATTCTTTAACGTTGGTATATTATTATTTCAAATGAATTATTTCTTTCAAGGTTTTAATGTTAAGGTTGGATTTTTTCTTTCTTGAGATCAATGTCAAAGCATTTCGCAAGCTGTTATAACGAAACGAATATTAGTGAAGCAGTTTTATATTGAGAACTGTTTTGCGGATTATTAATCCGTATATATGTTTATTAATCGCACTTTTGAATACTATACTTCATTTCAGACACAACTTTCGGGGACTATGTTCGGAAGATCTTTCCGTTCCTTCTATGTATTTGCTTCCACAGGTACATTAAAATTCGTAAATACATTTAGAGGTGACCTCAGAAGAGTATCATCTCACTTTTGATTAATTTAGGGAACATTTTTTGTTATGCATTATTTGTTATGTATTATTTTTTTTCTTGAACTTACAATGTCACTCTAAATTGAGTTACAGAAATTTAAGAGTAAATTTTCGAATACTTCATTTTAACTGTATTCGTTTTATTTCATTTGTTTCAGATTCCTGTGGCTCGTCGCAAATTAGGATTATCAAGCAATGTAGACACATCTTCATCGTCATCATCGAATCTAGTCGGTGTTGCTTTAAATAAATGTCGTTGGAATACTGCGGGCACACATGTAGCTGTTGGTGATGATACCGGTCGTGTTACTGTTTGTAGTGTTCACGAAAGTCTTTCTCAGCCTGTCACTGATGATTGGTCTAGTTTCGCACATGTATTAGCTGATCTTAAACACTATGAAATGGAACTAGAAGTAGAAACAGAAGCATAATCTTGGTTAAAGGCCTAATTTTCTCTGTTTTTTGTATTTCTATGGATCATACATACCTCTTCTATGTAACACCAATCAGCTTCAATTTTATTTTACGTTGTTTTGAGAATTGAAGTTGCATTTGTAAGTTGACATATTTGGTTTTCATGAAAATTAATAAAGTACTTCAGTATAGGGGTTCCGCTTAAAAATAACAACTTTAAAAGGCTGTGTTGGGTTTCCTTATTTTCTTTTTTTTAGAGCAACGTTTATGACTTTTGTTTCATTTTAGTTTTGTCTAATTATGTAAACAGTTTAAGATGATACTGTGCAATGGAGTTTTTAATCTCTTCACTTTTATTCAAGTTTTTTGTTATTTGTGATAATTCTCTTAAATTCTATAATATTTTGTTTGACTTGGTTACTTTTTAAGCTCCTTACTTATAATTGTCATAAATAATATTGAACAATAAAAGTTGTCTTTGATCTTTATTCCTAGTCTGATGCATTTTTATCAATAAAGATCAATAAAGAGTGACAGTGTTCTAGATGGTTTGTAAATATCTCGTAAAGGTCGTAATTTGTTCAGTGATCCATTTCTGTTCTAGATTTGTTTGATAAACTAACAGTGGAAGTACCGAAAAAGCATCTAAATAGATCTGGGAGTATATTCAGAACTTCATTGGGTTATGAGACATTATTTCAGTTGTTAGCATTCTGTTCTTGATTGTAGTTGTTAAAACTCACTATTAGTTTTATATCTGTTGCAACCTACAATTACGCTTTCTTTTTGTCTTTAACACTCGACTTTTTTTTACACATATAGTGTTCCGTTTGTTGTGAATACATGTGTGTAGCCTTAATTTATGAATTTGTGTAGGAATAGATAGACATAACCTGGTGCTAAAAGAATTTTGTGATGGTTGCATTGTACCCCTTTCTTTAGATGGATCCAGTGACATTCTTCTCAATACGTTTTCACACATGAAGGCCATATTAATAAACATCATATTTAGCCCGCAAAAGAAATTAATATGCAGAACAAGTAATAGTATGCCAGCACAAATTTTAATAACAAAGGCCGAAATAAGAAATCGGCAGAAAAACCACTCGAAAAGGTATGTTGAGTGACGAAATAGTATCGACAGTCATGAAATGAATGCTGTGTGTAAGCTCATTCAGGAGTAGTCACTTCAACTGGATTTCAGTTCACTGTCAAATATTTCTTGAGCTCAGTTAATGTGGACGGCGCTAAAGGAATTTTGAATTCAATAGGGTTATTCGAAAATAATTCAGGTCAGTGGTCTCACGTAGTGTAGAGTAACTCAAAAGAATACTACGAGACGATTATGACAGGGATTTTTAGAACCGAGATTACCTAATCGTTGTATGAACCTTGACCAAATCGCCTTAAGGCGATTATTTCATATGTGAGATGCCTCAGGTCGGTGGTCTACATGTGGGTTAGCTTAAATTATTAGTATATTTGTCTTCAGAATTCCTGCACATTTTAGAAGGTACCAAATTATATATAGCCATGTGTATCATATGTTTTTCTTCATGTTTCAGCTAAAAAAACCGTGTTCCGTTGTCAGTCTACCACTGGGAATAGGTAGGGTTGGTACGATTCATCCATTTGTCGTTGCTCTTACTTCGCTCCATCTATTAAATAGTAATGCAGCGTCAAGTACTTCTCAGTTTATATCTACCGACTTCACCGATGCTTTCTTCAGATAATCTTATTCAAAAGGTTCTTATTATAAAGTGAATTAGAAGATGTAAAATTTTTTCAAGGTGTAGGGAAAGCGTAATTGTGCCAATTGCAGATAACATGTATTCACTGCGTCCACGTCCCTATTGATTGATGTAAATATTTATTTATTGTCCTTAAGTAGACGTGGCGTGTGATGAGAAATTTCTATTGTCAGTAAATTTTAAGATTGTAAAATTACATGTGATAGCGCATGTCCAAGTCTCATAGCTGTGAGCCTATCTTTCGAGCGGCGTTTCGTGGTGGATTGTATGAGATAAGGTCATTTGATATGACTCAGAATCATCCGTGTACAAAATGTTTATGGTTTAGGTATAGGGATTTTTCAAGTGTGGGAGGAGAAAAATTTAGATCCACATTACTGTTATCCTTCAAAGTAAATCACGTTGTGAGAGTAGTTGAGTAGGAATCGCACAATGATATCACCGTAAATGGTGTGAAGAACATGTACCTCAAAACTGCTCCGAGTAGGTGTGTAGTGTATTATTTGCAACCTCCTCTCACTCTGTTTAGATGTATGCAGTCCACTACATAGAAACTGAATGTTACAGGAGTTTTACTCGGAAAACCGATGGCAAGAGATATAAGGTGATGAACCATTTATCACGTTTGGTCGTGCCAAAACTCCGTTTAGTGTGCCAGTATCATCACACTGAAAGTGTGTGATGAGAGATGTTGAATTGGCCAACGTCCAGCCGTGGATCTGGCAGGTCAGACTATGGGGAGCACCTAACAATGACTCAAACCGCTATAAACGTATCGGTAAAACTCCGTCCTAAAGATTTAGATCTCTCATATCCGCTGCAGGTCTCCCGCTATGGGTGTTTAACTCTCATGTCTGCACGAAGTTCGCTAGTGTTTGCTCTCTATTTGTTGTTTTTGCAGGCCTGTACTGAGCAGCACAGGCATAGTGAAGCGGCCAGTTCAGTGGGGTAAAGTTGACACCATACGATTTCGGCAGGGGAGTGCCAAGAGAGATGAGGTGCTAAACCATTTTTCTGGTTTGGTATTGCCAACATCCTCCTTTCCGACATCAATATCACCGTATCGTGATCTCGTTCGTATTTGTAATCCTGAGCCAGAGAAAATATTCACAGAACGTATGAAGACATTCATCTTTGTTGTCGTTGTTTAAGCAGTTGTTTTTGACATTACGGTCTTATCGGTGAATAAAATTGCTGAGATCATTCCATTCGCGCAGTTCTGTGCCCTTGTAGACTGTATTCTATTCTGCGTAATGTCGTCGATATTTCACACTCAACAACCTTGGTTTGGAAAGTGTACTTAATGGCCCTTTATTTGGAATCTCACTAGATAGGACTGCTGTTATCGACGGGCTGAGCACTTTTGGTGACCCTGTATCTGACTGCAGTCATACCGTACGACGATCGCAATCGAAATATACATGCCAACAATCCCCGTATATAATTATCTACATAAACCGCATTGTAAATAATAGGATTGAATAAGTCAAATATGAGAGTGGATTTTGAATATGTATATCTCATATAATCGTTGATCCAGGCAGACGGTCAGAAAAACGAAGGGAAGAAAGCGAAGAGAAGGGATCAACGTGAGACAAAATGACGCGTGGTAAAGAACGCTTGCTAGTAAGCTCGATTTAACCATACATGAATCAATATTTGTAGTCAAACAAAAATAATTTACAGATACATCATGAATAAGGTAAGTAATTGACACACATACATTCTCATGCAGAAACAGTCAAAGTTCGTAAGCAGATAATTGAAAAGATCAAGGTGTGGCTTGAAAAGAATGAATCAGTTGGTCTGTCCGGAAGCTGGAATAGCTTATGTGGGCTTGAAATAGCGCCAGGCACCTCAAGTATGCTTCCCAGCTGAAGAAAAATTTTTAGTTTACATTTTCGTTTTCATCTCACTTGCAGTAATAATGAGGAATGGGTAGAAGGTTATTTAGTTTGTATGGATGGTAGAAATCATTGTTTCAGTTTGCCATAACGGATAAATGAACGTAGACATCTTATTATGAACAAGAAAAAAATTGGCTGTTAATATTATGGGATGCGCATCAGGTATCAAGAAACGTGTGACGAATTGTGTTCGAGGACATATATTGAGTTCCTTCCTAACTTATCGGCATTCTGGTATGGCAATCTGAACTTTCCATGTTTGCCATGAATTTTGTAAAATGGTTAATATAATTTGATATCAAGTCTAACGCTTGAATGTAGTCAGGATACCTATTTGTTAAATCCTATTTGTGTCGATTGGTAAGCATTAGACTATTTTTAATTTATGGCTATAAATCTTAATTACAGTGTCTCACTAGATTCTGGTTAAATCGTAGAAAAATGTAAACGAGTGAGCACAACGCTTCTCTGCCTTCTCGTTCTTCGAGTCTTTGGCTTTGTCATGAAGACTTCTACATCTCAAAGCGAGGATGGAATACAATGGACCGATTAGATACAACTAGACAATCCGGACTTCCCAGATAACCTAGTTTTCCTATCCCGTACACAGCAACAAATGAAGGCTAATACAAACAGTGTAGAAGAAGCCTCTGCAGCAGTACGACTCAACATACGCAAGGGAAAAAGCAAGATCCTCAAATAAAACATGGAGAACACCAAACCAATCACACTTGATGGAGAAATGCTGGTAGAGGTGGGAACTCTATTGTACCTGTTCAGCATCATCGATGAACAAGGAGGATCCGATGAAGATACAAGGACAAGGATTAGCAAGACAAAGACAAGATCCCTACCGTTGAAGAATATATGAAACTCGAAACAACTGTCAACCAACATGAAAGTCGGAATCTTCGAAACGAACGTCAAGACAGTTCTACTCTACGGAGCTGAAACTTGGAGAAACATCACACCCATCATCAGAAAAGTATAAGTATCTATAAGCAAGATACTCTATATCCGTCGACCGGATACTATCAGTAACAATCTACCGTATCAAAGAACGAACCAGCTGAATGTTCAGCTGAAGAGGGAATTAAAGGAAAGACTATGAATGTGGATAGGATATACATTTCGGAAACCGTCAGACTGCATCACGAGGCATGTGTTGACTTGGAATCGTGAAGGGTAAAGGAAAAGAGAAAAACCAAGGAACACATTTGATCGACAATTAGAGGGAGACATCGAAAGAATAAATAGTGATTAGAAAGGAGTGTCGAGGACATAGTTCCACGGAGAATTCTGATGAATGACTTATGTTTCTTCATTTAGAGTGACAGGCGAAGTTCAGTTAACGAGTAACTAAGGTTACAAAGATGCTACAATGTTTCTTCGATCCATTAAGCTGACAGTTTTGTTCAACCTGATTAAGAGCTAACAGGAAATATTTACCAGTGAAAACACTTCAAAAAACTTTCATTTTCATAATACAAAGCTGTGTAGGCTCAAAGAATCTAGACCGATCAACTGGATGTTTGAAAGTCTTCATGATTTAGTTTGAGTTATATCATTGATTTATTTCATCATGAAGTATCGTAAAAGTTTCTATCCCCATTGTTGTACATTGATGACCTGTTAATAAGCTCCAATGTTCAGACTCTATTTCTTCCAAGTTATTTAGGATGAGTAGATGGATACAAAGTGAGATGGGTTTCTCTACGTTTCTGGAAGACTCTAATGGATAAATATCTAGAAATTTTTTTTAGTATCGTGATAATCAAAATGATAATGTGGAAATTCTTCGTTTCGTTGATCCCATGTAGTATGAGAAATTCCGCTGTCATAATTTATGATAAAAGAAAACCTGTGCACTACTCTGTTTAACGTTTTTCGACATTGGGTCCGGAATTTAGGCAACGTGAACACCAAGCAATCAAAAATCAGTTTTTGCTATTCACTTCAGACCTTCTTTGAAAGAAGTCAACTCAGTGTCCCTTTATCACAAGAGTAAAATCGCTGTTTTACAATGAGTACAAAGTTATTTGTTCAGAGAGCTTTCCTCAAATGTCTTGTAGCTGTAAATAATTCCCCAAAATCAATAGCTCATTAAGTGTTCGTCATTGGATGCTGACCACGTTGTTTAAGTGGACTTGTTTAGCTGAAGGCTTTCGGTCATGCATCCGTACCAGATCACGTTTCAACACGGCGTGGGACACAGCTTCTACGTTCATTATCCAGCTTATAGTAAAGGTCCCTCGATATATTGGTAACGCATCAAATATATCTTTCCTACCACTCTTCATCTGACTTCTAGTTTCTATTCGACTGAGAAAGAACGATTGTAGAAGATACCACTGGCTGCTAGTTGCCAAACTAGAATATCCGTTGTATCCTCAGTCTCAACATGTAGTACAGAAGCAGGGGTTGAAATATCTGGTATATCTTACCGTAACAGATGATAGATGCGCTTTATTGCAATTATGTACTTGGGTAAGCATGGTTTAAATCCGGAATCCATGAGCTGAGACATGCATGATCTCAACAGATGGTGGTGCTACCCTTTAATGAGTCTTCTACAGGAGGCTCAACAGTCGTTGTCATTTGATTGTAACTCCGAGAGAATAGTCATGACGCTAAGTCTCAGTCCTTTCTTTAGTTGTTTACTAAGACTTTTATGCTTACTGTGTAATATCACTTAAGAATATGAAGTGATATTTTGATAACTTATAGGCAGTTAGCATACATTCTAGATTTTGTTTAAATGTATCATTTTATTGACAGCGAATGTAAACCAAAGTTACACGAAACTTGAAATTACTGTTAGGATTTCGTGCTTCAGACAAATGGATTTTAACACAATAAACTGTAGTCCGAGGTATTCATAGCTATGGAATATGAAAGTCCTATGTCACTTAAAATTGAGATAAACATAGAGAATGAACTTGGAGTTTTTGAACCTCGAGATGATGTTGCTGGTCATATAGTTATAAAAACTGAAGAAGATACAGAAATTGATAGTGAGTAAATTTGGTATAATGTGGAAAACGTTTTTAAAGTTTGATGAATATTCATGTTTTGTGCTTGAGCAGCGATTTGCCTAAAGACTGAAATCTATAAAATATATTTTATTTTCACTAGGCTTCCATGAAGTTCATTAACATATTATTCGCAAATAAAGATAGTAATGAGAGAAAAAAATACTCATTTTAAAGAAGGGATCCTACAATACATCGCTACAAATGTAAACTTAAAATCTGGCCTAATATATTACATCAGCATTTGTTTTTAATCTCTATGCAACAAATGCAACGGGTAAATGACCAAAAATAGGTTATAAACTGGTAGGAGAGAAATCTGTCGGGACTATTACAGGTCCATCAACCTACTATTCTTAATACTGAAAACTGAATGTGTTCATTAAAAGTCCCGAAATACTGTAATTTAAGGCATATAGATTTAGATGAGCACAAATGAACGTATTATATCTGCAATCCGTAATAAATGCGCAATCAAGTACATAAGAATCATCAGCTCATACAAAGGCCACAGGGATGCCAAATATTAATATGGATCTCTCAACGAAGATTATAGCAAAGATAAAGTCGAAGATTATGTACACGCTTTCTTAGTAGTTCGTTTGTTAACTCAATAATTAAATTATTCTCCATAAGACTTAGCAATATGAGTGACTGCTTTGCCAGCGACGAGCTACTTTTTATTTGCTCTCGTTATCAGATTGAAAATCTAGTTCTTTAGTATCTGATAATGTATTTTTTTTGCTTTGAATAACTTTCCTCTCTTTCTGTTAAATAAGTGTAAAATATGTTGAAGTGGCTGATCTTTTCGCCTTCTGTGAACGTTCTGCTTGCTTTAAGTCCTATTCTTAGTTTTTTGATAACGTTGTAACTTTAAAATATACTCTATTTAGATTAGATATTGAAATCTTATCGATGTTTGATGAAAACCTGAGTTTTCATAAGCTTGTCAAAATAATACTTACTAATTTTCTTATATTTGATGAATCTTTTAAGCTAACTTAATAAACCAAATACCTAACTAATCTCATTAAAATTTGGTAGTACTGATCCATATAATACATGGTTTGTTAGTTTTCCTTCGCTGTATTCACTTGACTATTTCTAAAGAAGTTTGTTCACACATTTCAAATCTTTGAAAAATCTCTTGCTTTGAATCTGATTTAAATTACTCTCAAAGAGCATAAGTTTGTAGGGGAGCTGTTATTGACGTAGAAGTTGACTAAAGGATGGGGTGTCCAAAACTGAATTTAAACACCCATGTAAAAACGTCATCTTTGTTTATGACAAAGACATTTATGCTAAAGTTGAAGACACTTTATTCCACTCGTCTTTTGGTAAAATAAGACATTTATCAGTCAACGGTTTTTATCTAAAAGCAGCACAGAATTTTATTTATTAAGAGGAAGGGAGCTTTGACAGGGCATTTAAATTTATAGGCGACAATCTCGAACTAATTTATTCTTTAAAAGTCAAGCTACTGAAATCTCCTTTGTTCTGTATTTAACGTGTCTTCACTTTTTCTCAGAGCAGGTTTTCAAGGTGACTTTTGTTTTTTAATTAGATCTATCTCGAACATTTTTCGCATAAAACTTACTTTATATCTGCCAAACACAGAGGACAAAATACAGTGATATTTCTCATATCTTATATTAGTAAAACGGTCAATTTTATATTTTAACATGATCATGTCTACTCAAGAATTATGATACTAATAGATATTCATTGTAAATAGATGAATGTTTCAGATTGAAAAAGTATGATATCTTTCTGGGAATTCGTCAATAGCAAAAAAGTAAAATAATCAGTATTTTTCTGCAATATTTTGCTATTTTGACCGATTACGTTAATTTAAGCGAGTTAAATTATTACAGTTGGAGTTTTTTAATTGCCTTATCAGAAAGCAAATCATCTCAACTTTTCAAATTCATCTAATGTTATTATAGTTCCTAACAGTCGGGCATCATGTAGTTGTATATAAAGGTATCATTGTGACTATGCTAAATCAGTACAACAAGTTGATCTATGAACGAACTGTAATTTGGGAGTCTCTGACTTTGAAGCAACGGTGAACTGTACAATCTACAGTGTCAATCATGTCGAAAGCTAGTGTGCTGTTGTAAGTCGAATTAAGTTATATGAATTTTGTCAAGTAATGTGACTTGATCAATATAATTGTCAGTTATCAAATATTTTTATCACTCCGTCCATATGCCTTTTCAGTTTCATAGAGAAACCGCTCCACCGTGGACCTGTAAATAAAAGCAATCTGTTTAATGTAACCGTAATTATCATTCCGTGACTGTGAATTCAAAAATATGTTCGGACAAGACCTTTTTTATTTGGTTATTTTTTATTTATGGAATTTTATTATTTTAAGGATTCAGTTGATGAACACGAATCCGTATATGATGTCCGCCCACGAATATCTAATTGTCACCTGTAATCTTATTTTCAGTTGGTAATTGATAAAAGCTGAATTTTAGAATACCTGTCTTGTTCATGCTAGGGTTCATCAAATAAACTTGACTGAATAATAGGAGATATTTTTCCATTCTACCTAGACCTGAATCTGAGACGTGACACTCAAAATACCAGTTCTAATTCAGTTTTAGGCAACTAAGCTGAAGAAATCTTGTATCCCAGGTTACATACTAATCATCACCAAATGCAATGTACTTAGAGTTCTGTGTACATGGTAGGCCGTTCGAGAGCTTGGATAACCCATTTTCTGATCATACCAATAACAGAACTAACCCACCTGTTTCAGATTTATTGGGATTTAATAATTATGAGTGGTACTTGCGTCTACTGACAGATTGTTATAAAAGAGTTACTAATTTTGTGAAATATTAGTTACTGGAAGAATCAAGCAAAAACATTAGCATACTTTCATTTTTACCTAATATACTGCAATTTAAGCACATTATATATGTTAAATGGAAGAATAGTTGTATTTGCTGAACTGGTAGAAAACGTTGATGATTAAATCTGGTTGGAAGATATTGACTCTTCAAAACATTTCTTATATATATTTTAACAATTTTAGTTTCAGTGTATGCTAAAGAGATATCTGAAGTAATATTGCACAATTGGTAACATTCATAGGGCTGAAAAAACTATTAATATTAATATTACTATTATTATCATCATCACTAAAGTTATTGAAGGTAATGATTATCTTGCATTTAGATTGTTCTGAATTTTCCACCTTGTTAACTAAATTAACAAGGTATTCTATCTTTACACAAAATAATAAAATTATACATAAGACAGACATGTCAATTAGTTCCCTGGAACTAAAAATAAATATTTCTTTAAAAATAATAAAGCATTAAACATAATCTCTATTCTGTTTAAATAGGAAACAGTAATGAGAGGACGCTTATGTGACATTAAGTGAAAAAGATATTCGATTTTAGAACGATATTCATGAAACGTTATTTGAAGTTGATTTTTAAAGAAGCTATCGAGTTGTTTATACTTATATAACAACTGTACTAGCTTAGTGTAGTGATTAAGTCAACACTACTTAACTAAGTATGGATATCGTTACTTGTTCATTAAATGTTTATTGATTTAGTTTTCTTTATGTAGTATCAACCAAAGTTGAACCTATTGTTGATGCATATTTTATTTGAATCCTAGCAGTCTCAATAAAGAAACAAAAAGTTACAGATATAATACAATTCATTTAAGACCACTACTACTACTCTTACTACTACTACTACTACTAATACTACTCAAATACTCAAACATTCAGTACATCATACACATCTAACTAAGTTGTAAACCCAGTAAATCTAATAAAGAATGAATAAAAATCAATACTTAATAAATCATTCAACCGAATTACATAGAGAAGAAAAAAGGTGGAAGATTCCATAAAAAATATAATAAAAAAAAGGAAAAAATAACTATTAATCAGTATTTATTAACCTGAACAAGTTTATCGATCCAATAAGTCAACAATGATAATAAATAAAATTGATTGGTGTTTTTCTTTTAACTTGCCTACTAATAAAAGACAATTCATGAGTTTAATGTATATATAATTAAAAATAATACAATTAGATTAGTAAATGAAAGCAACTTAGAACAATAAAAATTAAACATTTTTATTTAATAATTCATCGAAAGTTAAAAATAAATAAGTATACATTATTTTATTTTTATCCTGATGTGAATCTGATCACTGAAAGGGGGCATATACGTCCAGCCGATGAGTATTCAATAGAATGAAACGTGAGTCTCAGATTCTCCTGCTAGCCACAGTCTATCTATTCCATTTGAAACAGAAAAGTCTAGTGTAATTTATAGAGACTCAAGTTGTCGGGAAATCAATTAGTTATTATTATGGTCATGTTTGTAGTGTTAGCAGTTATCTTTTTCAGAAAGGCTTCTGGTTATTGTAAAGTGATTGAACACAAGGAGATATTTGAGAAATTATTGATTTTAAATGCGGATTTTATATCGAATTCCATTTTTCTGTATATCTTATAAACCAAATTATTTAAATTCATTCAGTATTGTTTGTTTGAATCTTCCCATCGATTTGTTAGGACTGCAACTGGTCAGTCTCTAATTGTTATATGTGCATACTGTGCGTATTGCCTCAATATAGCCTTAATTCACAAGCATGGTAAGCAGAGATGGAGACTCAGTGGCCGAGTGGATAATGCGATGGCGTTTGAAGCGAGGGTACTGGGTTCGAGTCCCAGAGTGAACATCAACTCTGCGATTCAGGTACATCCATCTGACGGGTCCCAAATAGGACGAAACGCGCGTCATGGATTCCACTGCTAGCCACTATCCATCTCTGCTTACAAATTATTTAAGTCCATTTTTTCAAACATCAACAAATGTTCGTATAAATAGTGTTAGCACTTAGATTCGCTCGAAATCACTTGAATTGATTTGTTCAAATTTTCGAAGGTAATAATCTTTTCCTTGAAATACATTAGAACATTTTGAAACCCAGT